CAACGATGGTAAAACCCCATCCTACTAAAATACAAAAAAATTAGCTGGATGTGGGGGTTGGGTGTCTGTAATCCCAGCTTACTCGCCAGGAGGCAAAGGTTGCAATGAGCAGAGATCACACCACTGCACTCCAGCCTAGGCGACAAAGCGAGACTCCATCTAAAAAAAAAAAAGAAAAAAAAGGTTATGAACAGAAGGGAGAGGGGCTTGAGTTGACAAGGGTCACTTTCTTTCTCCATGGAATTAACCTGTACATGGCAGGAGAGAATAAAGGACAATGGGCAAAGGGAGGCAGAGCTAAGACAGACAGACAGACGCATGTGCGCACACACTGGGCGGTGGAGGAGGCGCTGGGACGTCATGGTTGGGAGTCTGGATCCAACAACATCTGACATCTGATCCAGCCCAGCCTTGGCCCTCACAGCTACCAGACCCAATCAGTCTCCTACTGGTTCATCCTGGAGCTGGTTTGAATCAAGTTTCCTTCACTTACAAATGAAAAAAATCTGATGAACGCCTAGCTGTAAAATCCTCCTAGAGAAACGCAACTTTGGCATCTAGAGAAGGAGCAAGCCGGTGTGCTGCTGTGAACAGGACAGAAGCTGGAGCCATGGGAAATGTGGAGGAAATAGACTCGGCCTGGGTGTTTGCCAGCAGCCAGGGTGGGATTAGGAGCTGGAGGACTGGACACCGTGGCTCTCTAGGGACTCTGCAGACATTTAGGGAGAGGTGGCTGAGGGGATGCCCACAGAAGTCTCAAATTTGAGCAGTTATTGGTGACTCAAGGAGCTCGGCATTGGAATGATTATTTTCTATGTCATGCCAGGCAGAAGGTATAATGTAGGAGATTTCTATCCTATGAGACTAAATCTATGCAGTGCATTAATCTTAATTTACTTTTTATTCTGATTTTTGTAGTCAATTGTTTAAAACCCAGGATGTCCTTTCTGAAGACTGTTGTTAGGATGCTATCACGCACTCCTCCCAGCCCCTCTGAGATGCTGGGGCGGGGAAGCAATCAGTCTTATCTGTGTGGGAACCAGACTCCCACGAAGTGCAATCAGGGGAAGAAAGGAAACAAGGAAACTAACATGCATTTAGTATCTACTCTGTCCTAGGTGTCTGCTCTCTGCATATGTAATATGCATGATCTGTAAGATCCTGGAAGGGAAGTTTACTTCACAAATGAGGAGATTTACAGGTGGAGAAGGGGTAACTGGCCACCGTCTTATCACCAGCATGCAGCACAGCTGGGACAGGGGCTGGCTTGGTCTGATTCCCACATTCCTGAACTTTTCACTGTACAGTGTTGCCAGGTCAAAGGCACCCCTTCTGGTCCCCACTCCCATTTGCAGACGTCTAAAGTTCTATGATAGAAACTTAAACACGAAAGGCTTTTGTTTATGTTAGAAAACAAAACTCCTTTATTTCTTTATTTTTTATTGATTTATTTTTTTGAGACAGAGTTCCATTGTGTTGCCCCGACTGGAGTGCGATAGCGGGATCTCAGCTTACTGCAACCTCCACCTCCAGGGTTCAAGTGATTCTCCTGCCTCGGCCTCCCGAGTAGCTGGGATTACAGGCACACGCCACCTTACCCGGCTAATTTTTGTATTTTGAGTAGAGACGAGGTTTCACCATGTTGGCCAGGCTGGTCTCGAACTCCTGACCTTAAGTGATCCACCCACTTCAGCCTCCCAAAGCGCTGTGATTATAGGCGTGAATCACCGTACCCGACCCAATTTCTTTCTTTATTTCTAAGATGGGGTCTCACTCCGTCACCCAGCCTGGAATGCGGTGGACTGATTATAGCTCACTGCAGTTTCAAACTGCTGAGCTTAAGCAATCTCCTGCCTCAGCTTCCCAATTAGCTGAGACTACAGGCCTGTGCCACCATGCTCAGCTTCTTTTTTTTTTTTTGGTACAGATGGGGTCTCACTGCATTGCCCAGGCTGATCTCGAACTCTTGGGCTCAAGTAATCCTCTCACCTCAGTCTCCCAAAGTGCTGGGATTACAGGTGTGAGCCACTGAGCCCATCCTAAAGCTCCATTAAATCAGGAAAGCCTGCGTTTCTGGTGACAGACTTCACTCATTTCATACGTTTGTGGCTGGTAGTAATAAGTCAGAAGGTCAGTGCAGGTATTGTGATGGTGTGGGAATAAAGCGTTAACCAGCCTGGGGCCTTAGCAGCCCTGCTAGCAGGTAAACCCTGAATTGAATGCAAATCAGCAAACAGTAATGAGTCAGACCTTCCAGAGCAAACCATTTCCATTTCATTCTGTATCTATGTATAGAGGGGCATGGAATGAAAAAGAAGAAAGAGCAGATTAAAAAAAGATAATATGGCTGGGTGCAGTGGC